CCGAATGAAAGTGGTATGTCTTTACCTTCTTACAACTGCTTGCCATAATATTATTTTTCGTTGTTCTCTACTAAACCAACCGCTGGACGTTGGTTACGCGTTCAGTTTTAAACTAAGCGCAATGTCGCCGCGCCGTGCGTATTTATCCCGTTCAAAGCAATCCTGATCGTTCTCGAACACTAACGCGCTGGTCCGGCTGGTCGGTTCTAGCCGATTTTAGCTTGATGGCGTCAGCGGCACATCGCTCACCGCAACGTTGCCGCTGTTTATGTTTAATATTATGATAATTAGATTTTTTTGTGGAATTTTCGGAAGCTCTCTGATTTTTGCAGTTCGTATTTTTTAAATTAAAATAGACCCAATAGGGGTCTATTCTGTAACAATTCCTTTATATTTAACGACCTTTAAAAATATTTTCTTCTTTACTTCTGTCATTATTTAAACGGATCTTTAAAATACATTAGAGGACTATCTTAAAGAAATCTGTTTAAAAAAGGCCCTTGGGATGGATCTGTTATCCTCCGGGCATAATCATCCCTATTACGCCCTTGGTACATAAATAGCTATTTATCTCTGCTATTGTCTTTCGACGTTATTCAATAATCATTGGTTACTTATGAACCTCTACTAAGGATAAAATATGTTGCTGAATATCCGAATATCTTCTATATCCTGGGATATAGACGGACATTTGGTTGGATATCCATATTGGATATATTGAATATCCACAAAATACATTCTGTGGATATATCTGGGATTTCTTGTATTTTCTGGAAGATACCCATTCGATATTTTGCTGGATATCCATTAGGATATCTTCTATATATTCTGGATATAGACGGACATTTGGATATTATTAAATCCACGGGATATTAGATCCTGTGGATATATTAGATATCCACAGAAGATATTCTGTGGATATCTCTGAGATTTGGTGTGTTGTCTGGGCAAACGCTTATAAATCTTTCCATGCTAAATTTAACGCATATTTTTATACCGCACATCCATCATTGTTTCATTTTATTGAAGTTTTAAGACAATTTCAAACTGAAACATACATAAAAATTCAAAGTTTGGGCGAACCTTCGAGCATACGCGATCCAGTGATGCGGAAACGAAAACAATGTATTGGAAAAAAATAGAAGAGTATAAAAGTGGATCCATCAGAAGATTCGATTTTGTTAAATGCATTTCATATTTTTATAAACATATATAATAAGTTTCATATACCTAATTGTAAATATTTTTTTGAAGCATAAAAATATATTATATACCTATAGTTTGTTTGTATTTTTTTACACTGTGTTATTTGTAAAATGTGACATACGCTATCTTTCTTATCAAATTGAATTTAAAAAAACTATTTACATATTATTTGAAAATATCGTCAAAAATTAACATTTTTAATTTTTTTAAATAGATTTTGCTCTAAGCAAAAAACAAATAATGAATATAAACCATATTCTTCCATTAAAATCAAAATTTTGATTTTTGGTAATTTAATGAAACGGTCTATAGTCAAATAATATTAATCCACAATTAATATATTTTTAATAAAATTTTAAATCTAAATTCGATGGGGACGAATTTAGGTATCTACATTTTGGTACCTGTTCTTTTCGGAGGCGAGTTTATGTGCTTCTATTCAGGTATGAGATTAACTCAGAGGTTTATTTTAATCCTGGGTACGAATTTAGGTACGTCCTGGCGGATACTATTAATTTTAATAGTACACTCAAAAAAGTTTATTTGTAATTTCAACGAAAAATGTATGTTGCCATAACAATAATAAGATCCCTAATTGGTCAATCTAATATTCTATTAAATTGACAGGAACAGTTTTGCTAGTTATCCACTTTCAAGAGATTCTGGTAAATATAATGACTTTTCTGTTACTTTAATAATAAAATAATTCCAATTTCTCAAATGTGACCAATTTAAGCTAATGTGACTAATCAAAGATAGAGTGTTGAAAATCATTTTTTATATCTGCTTTTTTTCTATTGATATAATGCATCGCATGATGCGGTGTTAGCCAAGGGAGTAGTTGTTTTCAGAAAGGAATGGGTCGCTTGACAGTCAACTTTGCTGTGATATGGGCGTGGAGATTGTTTATCTTTTCTTTATTTATTATAATTTTTAGGCTAATAGTATAATTATTAAATATTAGAGATTATAATGATTTTAATAACAGTGCATTTGTGTAAAATGAGAAGTTTAACCATTAAATATACACATTTATAGGCTATTATGTCAATATTATTAAAATTATTAGTTATTGATATTTTTTACTGACTTCAAAAAAGGAGGAGGTTCTCAATTCGTCGTAATATTTATTTTTTTTATTTTTTATGTATGTTCAGCGGTAATTCTTTAGCACGGTGTTTGATTTTAATGATTCGTTTTTTGTTAGAAAGGGGGTACTTCAGAGGTGGTCCCATATAAATTTGGTTAAGATGTGGTGACGACATCTGCACGATTTTGAAATCGGTTTTTTAAAATTACTTTTAATACTTGTAGTAACTTCGCAAATGTAAACAAGTATTAGAAATTAAAAATTGAAAAAACCTACTTGAAAAACACGCAGATGCGATCACCACCTCTATGGGACCACCCCTAAGGTAACCCCTTACTAACAAAAAAAAAAGAATCATAAATCGGACAAGGTCGTAAAGCATTATCGCTAAACATACATAAAAAATGAAGAGTTTGAGGATTTTCGAATTATTAGATTTTGACCAAATTTATATGGGACCACCCCTGAAGTACCCCCTTTCTAACAAAAAAAGAATCCTTGAAATCGGACACCCTGTTAAAGAATTATCGCTGAACATACATAAAAAAAATATTGTGACGAATTGAGAACCTCCTCCTTTTTTGAAGTCTGTTAAAAAAAAACAGAACCGTTTTAAATTTTTTTTATGTGATTGAGTGTCACAAATGTTTGAATTTCGAAACTGAAATATTACTTTTAGTTCAAAATATAAGTTTGTCAAGGGAAATATATAACACACAAGGTTAAAGTAACAAAATAGAGGTTTGGCTTTATTTCTTCAGAATTACTCTAATCTAAAACTTTTCTAGTATATTGTAGAAGTTTATTCTATACGTTATTTAGGTACTGCAAAATCTATATGTAGTTTTAAATATAAAAATTTATAACGGAGACATATTTAGTGTAGTTTTTTTTACAAATATATACTCGACTTGTTTTTTGTGAATGAGTTCAAGTATGACAGACGAAAATCGTTACTTTTATTATGAATTAATTTAAAAATGGGAACACTATATTTCATCTTCTGTTTAACTATAAATGTGTTGTGTTGGAAACTATTCGACTTGCTTATTTTTAGATCTATCGACGAGTGCCTGAACTAAAATGTTGGTAAAACAGGGTTAGCCGCGTATATCCTGTTTCTCCGTTATTACATTGATTTGAGAATTGGTTTCAAGGTAATTAATTGTATTTGATTATTAATAGAGCATTTGACCCATTGAAAAAATCGTATTACATTCTTTTATAATTGTTTAAACTTTTATTTTTATTATTATCAAAGTTACATTATTTATATTGGCGTCAGCAACTGCTCCGATTTATTTTAAAAACGTCTACAAAATCTTAGCTCTTTAATTTGTATATTTAAAATTTATTTGAAAATTAAATTAAATGCAATTAAACTCTCAGCTTAAGTCTCCCTTCCTAATTTCTAATTTAAATCAAAAATTTACATGACGGGCCAACTTATTATTTTACCTTGATTAACTCTTTGGTTAAATGTAAGCCATTGACTGGAGTAATAACTTAGTTGTTTGGTTTATTTCAGTACGTTGTTTTTATTTTACTAATAATAATGCCAATTATTACAGTAAGTGCAAGATATACTTAAAAGATTTTTGCTATACCTACATTGGTAAGTAAATATTGCTTTGCAGTTTTGTATCAGGATAACAGGAAAGCATTTCGAAAGTGCAGGAATATTACCCATATCTCTTTGCAAATAACAATAGTCAAACCGCCTGTCAAAATCAGTTTCTGATAGGGTCTGGTGTAAAACTATCGGCATGCAAGAATGCAAAACGCCATCTGTCAAATTACTATTTGTCTTGAACGTGACGACTTAAATTACCTGTTAGGCTTATAATTGTGGTTATTTAACGGTGTATCGACCTTATTTCTTTTCAGCTTCATTGAAACTCTAACCATGAATATTCAAACCCGTTATTATTACACTCTTAGAATCAACTTGACCCCTGAAATTTCCGTAGCTCCATGTGAGACTACCCGAAGTTGTAGAGTAAAAATACCGTCCATATATGATAAGCGTAGAAGAATTCAAAACGTCATCTATTTTTTTTTTTAATTTGGTGTCATCGGCGTCGACTACTATCGCCATTAGCCTCGTGTTCTGCGTAGGCTTTGTTACTGTTTCCCAGCGCCACTTTAGGAACAGCACTGTTAATTAGAACCCAACAGTGAATGGTCGAGTGGGGAATCCTACCTATGCATTAGAATTAATATTTATTTTTTTTTTAATTAAATAAAAATTCCTGCCACCGGTGGGATTCGATCCTGAGACCTTCCGATCTCAGAGTCATGACTCTAACCACTGAGCCAACCCACCCCCAAAAACGTCATCTATTACATGTCAAATTGTTATTAATAGTGAAAATGTGTTATGACTTAGGTTACGGTCCGATATTAACAAAAATATTGGTTACTCGGTCCAAAAGTCACTATTCTGCTCGACATTCCCGAAAAATCGGTTAAATTAGGGGACGCGGTTAGCAAAAAAATGTTTACTCAAACGTCAATGTCAATCTGTCGCATAATTAATGCGACTCTCGTCAGTGGCCCACATGTAACCAACAAAAACATCGTTTTTTTTTTCTTTTTTTGAGCAACCGCTATCAAAAATACTAGTTAGTCACGGTTAGTAGTCTGTTAATTTCAAACCATAACCTTAATGAAACAAAACTAAAATTCATTTGTTTTTTTTTTTGAAAAAATATCTGCATTTATTTACATATCAAAAAGAAATAAATAAAATTCATCTTAAAACACTAAGACTAAAGTTACAACATATTTATACATTAACGGCATTAGTACCGAGAGTTTTCATAAACGCATAACAATCTTGCAATCTCTTCTTATCACCTATTTTCTCCAAAGTTTTAGCAGCCTCCACCAACATGCCGGCCCTCTCGCCAGGCGAAGACAACAAGGGACCGGGAAGGTGCTTGCAGGCCATATACAAAGCAGTCGCGTGCTGTCTTTCGCCACTCAAATCCTGCTGATTCCTGTCGCCTGAAAAAAAAAAAAAAAAAAAAAAAAAAACGATTAACAATTTTTTACTACAAATGTCTGCTGTCTAAAAACACTAAAATGTCAATGTCAGCTGCCAAAAATTACAAAATCTACCAAAAACCCAAAACTGTCACTGGGCATGCACAGAACGATGTCTATCTTTGGCTACACTTTCGTTAACGAATAATCAACACGTATTCTTGACAAGATAGGAGAATACATGTTGATGATTGGCTAAGGAAAGTGTAGCCCAGCGACAGACATCGATCTGTATATGCCGCGTAAGTCAGCTTTCAAAACCAACAAACTTTTGTCAATGTCATCTAAAAATAAAACAAAACTGTCAATGTCAGCTAACATATTAAAACCTCAGGTGTAAAAAGTAGGTGCAAATTTGTACAACTAATTCCTTTTTTTTTATTTAATTCTCACCATCCCTTTAAAATTATCTTTCAATTACAGCAATTCCTCTTTATTCATTTAAACCTGTAATTACTTAGCAATTCCTCTTTATTCATTTAAACCTGTAAATTCTTTGCAATTCGCTACTTATATACACCTAATTATCTTTAAGGTTTACCCTCGCTTACAAACTGTTGATGTCATCTATTGAAACCACCAAACTGTTCATATCATTTGTGAAAAATGCCAAACAGTCAACACGTATATCTCAAATTTTAACGTTTTGTTAAGTATACTCACTTTTACCGCAAATAATGGACGATTTGGCATGTCTCTGCCTCAAACTTCTATCTAAGAGCTGTTGAGTTCTTCCCGGAGCAGCTCCGGCCATCAATCTAGCCGTAGCTTCATACAGAAACACTCTCGATAAGGCGCTCTGAAAGCAAATTAAGATATTAAGATGTTAAAACGGTTCATTTAACGACTTACAGGTATGTGTTCGGCTAAAGTTCTCAAAGACATCAAATCGGCTTGGAAAGAGGATAAAACCCAATTTGAAACAGGCGTTTTCAAACCGTTGTCCACACAATCCTCCCAAAGTGAGGTTCTGGTTTCCAATAGCCAATCGCACACCAGCAATTGAGCCAACTAAAAATACAAAACACATTAAAGTAATATAATCAGATGCAATAAAGAGAAAAAAATGTTTTCTTCAATTTTCTGCTGTTATTTGATCTATTAAGTTGCACTGGAGAAACACTGCACTCTTTAAAAACATGCAATGCAACCACAATGCACCTTAAGAAATCGCAATTCAGTCGTGGTATCGTCCAACAGGATATTTTCCATATTGACCATAAATGACTTATACGACGCTTGTCAGCTACCAAAAATGTCATACATCAATAACTAAGGCGTGATACACAACTATCGCAAGTCAGTTGTTGCATATTAAACTTCATGATATGAATGGTTAAAAGTCGACATATTTACTGATCCCACTCAGTATAGTTTTCATTAAGATGATTCACATTTAATGTCTTGGTAATTTGATGTGCATGTGTACTTTTTTTGTACCATTTATTCTAAAAACAAACTCTGAAAACTGTACATATTTACAATCACAAGTTTTAACTAAACTTGTTACAATAAATAAATAAATCTGCTTATTAAATTTTTGACAACTTTGACAACTCTCAAACTAAGTCTAACAATAAGTACATGGGTAAGTATCAACTCTTAACAATCCTCCCCCCTGAGCTTAAACGCAAATCTTTGTACAGGTTTGACTAGACGTCCACTTCTTGTCTTCAATCCTTCTTCTTCTGTTTCTTTTAGACGTGCCTGTCCATTCACTTCGTCTTTATCATCCTTTTCTTTCCCAACTAGCTTCTGTGTCTGCTCTGAATATTGCTTAACCGCCTTCTTTTCTAAGCGCTCTTTCCTTTCCTTCATAATATGAACCTTACTTTCGCAATCTGCGTCTACTTCCAATGGGTACAATTTTTGAAAAGGCCTTAATATTTCCCCATGTTGTAATTTTACCTTTGCTGCTCTGCAATTTCCATCTTTTCCTTCTATTAATTCTAGAATCCTACCCAATGGCCAATTTATTCTTTTTATTTTTTCTTGTTCCACATAAACTACATCTCCAATTTTTAATGGTGTAGATAGTTTTCTCTGTTGGTGATGATGAATGAGTTGCGCTAGGTATTCATTCCTGAATCGAGATCTAATGTCGTCTCTTAATTTTTGTAAATATCGGTATCTTCGGATTATATGATTTCTGTCGATGTTGTCCATGTCTGGTATTTCACAGGTTGTCAGGTCATAAAGAAACATTGAAGGTGTCAATGGAATTAAATCTTGATCATTTTCGGAAACATACGTCAGCGGCCGAGTATTTATTATCGCTTCGCAATCGCAAAGAACAGTTAACAGTTCTTCATAATTAACGCATGCTTTTCCCAAATTTCGCCGGAGTAATTCTTTAATCATTCTTACAATACGTTCCCAGAATCCTCCCCACCACGCAGCTGTTGGGATATTAAAAATCCATTTTATTTTTCTAATCGACGAATAATCTAAAATCTTAGTCCAGTCCATTTTCTTTAGGCAATTATTAGCACCAGTAAAATTCGTTCCATTATCTGAGTACAAAACTGAAATTCGTCCCCTTCTGGCAATGAATCTTCTAAGTGACAATAGAAAATTATCTGTGGATATAGCTGTTACCAACTCCAAGTGAATTGCTCTAAATACTGCGCATGTAAATAAAACCACCCATACTTTTGAACCATCTTTTAAATATAATGGGCCAGCTAAATCTACTCCTGATATCTCGAAAACAGCTGCATTATTTATCCTATCTTTTGGCAAAGGTGCTAAAGGAGTTGATATGGATTTGCTATTAAAGCGTTTACACGTTATGCATTTTGAGGTAACTTCTTTTATGGTTCGTCTTCCTCTTAAAATCCAATAATTTTCTCTAATAATACATAATAATGTCTGGACGCCAGCGTGATTGTGGATTTTATGCTGTTCTAATATAAATTTTCTCACAATTTCATGTTTAGATGGTAACAATATAGGAAATTTAAAATTGTATGGCTCATTGCAGTATGTTAGTCTCGTTTTTAATCTCAAAATATTATTTTCATCTGTTAAAAACTCTAAATGATCTATTTTTCTATTTTCGACCAATCCTTCCTTTTGAATTATTTTAATTAGTCTTAATTCTGCTTTTAATATTTCTTCATAAGTTAATTCTTCAATTTGTTTAAAATCAGTATATACACATTTCGTCTGTTTTAGAATTTTTCCCGAAGAATGATTATAAATTCTTATTATCCATGCTATCATTCTTACTATCCGAGAAAACTTAGAAAAATAATGAAAATGCTTAGTAAATAAATCTTGGTCATGAACAATATTGCACACGATCTCGTTTTTCCTCTCAGAGTCAGCATCTACAGACGAAGTCATTTCCCAGTGAGGCCATGTTTCCGAATCCTGTTTTAGCCAATTTGGACCTTCCCACCATCTATTTTCCAGTAACATTTTACTAGAACAGCCCCTAGAAGTGACATCTGCTATATTTAGTTCTCCTGGAACAAAATTCCACTGACTAACCGCTGTATATTTATTTATTTCGTCTACTCTATTTTGGACAAATGTTTTCCAAGGACCTTTAGTTTTGATCCATGTTAAAGCTACTGTGGAATCTGTCCAATAAAAGGTTTCTAAGACACTTAGTTCTTTAACCGCTTGTACATGTTGGCTCAACCTAACTCCTATTAAATTCGCTATCAGTTCTAATTTTGGTATTGTTACATTTTTTGGTGCAGTTCTTGATTTAGCCTGAATAAGTTGTACTAAAACATTATTATTGATTTTCATTCTTAAAAATATGCAAGTTCCATAAGCTAATTTACTGCTATCAGAAAAAACGTGAATTGATGATTCTTTTATGTCAAAAGCTTGCTTCTTGCTAATTGATCTTGGAATTTTACAAAAACTTAGCAAATTAATTTCTTTTAGCCATTTTTCAAATCTTTTAGCAATATTTTCTGGCAATTCTTTATCCCACCCAACTTTTAATTCCCAAGTTTCCTGTAATAACATTTTTGGTATAAGAGTTAATGGGCAGGTATATCCGATAGGATCAAATACTCTATGGGCTACAGATAAAAGACCGCGTTTAGTTTTTGGAGTATCTTTTAATTCAATAAGGGTTTTTAAATCACAAAATAGTAAATCATTTGGGATATCCCATAACATGCCTAAAACGCTGCTAAATTCCACAGAAGAAACAACATTATCTGTTGTATAATACCATTCCCTAAGATTAAACTGAGCTAATGTCATTAGCTCTTTAGATTCTTTAATTAATTTTTCTAATTTTTCTATATTGTTTACACTAGTAATAAGATTATCAACATAAAAGGAATTAGCTAATTTTTCTGCTGTATCCTTCAAATGTAGTGGAGAATGTGATATATGATAGTTTATGGTAGCTGCTAATAAAAATGGACTACATTTAATTCCGAAAACTACTCTGCAGTGTCTAAAAATTTTCTTTATCTTTTCCTGATAATTGCTCCACCAATAAAATCTTAAAAAATTTCTGTCTTTAGGAGAAATACTTATCTGCAAAAACGCTTTTTCAATATCTGCAGTGACTCCTATAATCCCTAATCTGAATTTTATTAATAAAGATGGAATTAATTCAATCAAATTCGGCCCTGTTTGTAAACAACTATTTAACGAATTACCTAGTCCATCCCTGGCTGATGCATCAAATACTGGCCTAATTTTGGTTGTTTTACTTGCTTCCTTTATGACTGCATGATGTGGCAAATAATGTACTGGACCACTGTGAGGATTTTCTTCCTCTATTTCTTCTACAATACCCAGCATCTGCCACTCCAATAGGACATTTTCATAGTCATTTAACTTTCCAATAGTTGTTAACCTTTTGCTGGTAGACATTAATCTTTGCTCTGATAGAGTTTTATTACTGCACAAAGATTGATATTCTTCATTCCATGGTAATCTAACTTCGTATCGTCCATCTTCATTAACCATATTTTCATGAAAGAACTTAAGTGTTTCTTCTTCTGTTTTTTCCTTAGATTTTACTTCCAATGGATCACGTATTCCTAGAACATCTAAATTCCATAAGCTTGATATAGAGCAATTTGATAATCCTGAAAACAACAAAACATTTGGCTTAACATTAGGACATTTTCCAATTATTGTCCATCCTAATCTAGTTTCAAGAGCTATTAACCCATTTGACAACGTCTGCAAGTTTCCTGTGAATAACATTCCAAAAAAATCTGCACCTATTAATAAACCTATCTCTAATGGTGCACTCGAAAAGGAAGTATCACTTAAAATTATATTCTTCTGTTGTAGTTCACTGATAATATCTAAATTGTAAAGTCTAGGAATATAATTACAAATTTTTTCCTGATCTAAAACTTGCATATTTATTTCATATTGTTCGTTTAAGTTTTGAGCTATGATATCATAATTGTAAAGTAGTACATGATTTATTTGACCTCCAAAAACTCCTTGTATAATATTCTCTGTACTCTTCCTAACAAAATTTAATTCATTCGCATATTTAGCTAATATGTACGATCTTTGCGAACCGGAATCTAATAGAGCTCGAATAATTTTAACTTTGTTGTTTTCTTTATTTATTATTTTAACCAAAATTGTTTGAAGTAAAGTTTCGGACGTGTAATTGATCATTAAAGAATTGTCTACTTGATGCTCACTATTTCCTGTTATAGATTTTTCCCTCTTTTTGCTTAGCTAATTCGGGACATAATATAGGGTAATGTTTTTTAGTGCATATTATACATCTGACAAAATTCTTACAATTTCGTGAAGTATGATTTTGTTTCAGACATGAAAAACATCCTCTTTTCTTTATTACTTTGTTTTTCCTATCATCCATAGACATTTTCTGGGCCTTGAAACAGTCTTGACTTAAGTGAGTTTGATCACAAAAAATACATTTTGGAACCTTCTTACCTGCGGTATTTCCCTTTGACGATTGTGAGTAAAGAGTAGCTGCCGTAAACAACTGTTGTTCTTCTTGTTTGGATGTACCTCTGTTGCTGTGACTTACGGTTGTTACTTGAATGTCGTCTGGTACTTTAGTGTCATCTGCTGCATCATCAACGGAGGCAAAACTCTTCTGAGCCAATGTAATTCTTTGCTCGGCCTCTACTTCTCGACGTAAAAAATCTAATAATAATGTCAAAAAATTAGAATTATTAGAATTATTTTCCGTAATTTCACCAAGATAAGTACTTCGCTGTCGCTCCCAAGTTTTTAGAATATCTGCTGGTAGAGACGACTCTACTAAAGGGTAAAGCATGGCTGCATATTTGTCGCTGGTGACTCCTAATGATTCTAATGAAGTTAACTGTGTTTCAAGCTTATCATATAAATTAGCTAAACTCATAGCACACCTACCTTTAGTAACTTGTTGAAGTACGAGACTTAATAATTCTCTTACATAGACCTCGATCAAAAACTCATCCCTAGCGCAACGATTTTTTAACTTGTTTAGTGCCTTTTCATAATTAGCTTCTGATGGTGGAAAACTTTCTACAATTTTTCTTGCAATAGATCCTGGTTCCATGGCTTGAATCAAATATTGAAACTTATCTTCATCATCTATATGATCGTCTTCATGTATCTTCTTATATTGTGCCCAAAAACCTATCCAGTTTCTTACATCCCCGTTAAATTTCTTCAACTCTAACATGGGTAATTTAAATCTTCTCCTTTCTACTTTCAAACTTTCATTCTTGCAGCTGCCTTCCGATTCTTCTTTAAGGATAAACTCGCATCTGGCAGTATAGTTTATCATCTCTTCTTTGTAATGTTCTACTTCATCCATTTCCTCTTCGATTTCTTGTGGAGTAACGTCTGAACTTAATAATCCCTCTCTAATATGTTCGTCCAAAGCAAATATTCTTTCTGACTTGCTCTCCAATTGCCTCATGTAGATCATCACTTGCCCCCTAACTGGATTTGAATGGGCTAGTGCTACGTCGACATCTTGGCAAGTCTTCTTAAAATATTTTCGTAACTGATTTCTTTCAATCTTAAGATTTTCCATTTTTTAACGCTGTCACGGTCGCCAAATATAAGAAATGTGCAAGTAAAAGAATGGAATAATCGTGAATACTTTTCTCTTTGACAAATATATTTTTATTAATGACAAAATTACTGACAACTCTCAAAACTAAGTCTAACAATAAGTACATGGGTAAGTATCAACTCTAACACAGCCCATTTCATGTTTAGGTTTAAGAATCTGGAGTAAATTCCACATCCTGAGCCTTGTTTTCTTTTAGAACCACCAGTGTAGATATGAATTGTACCTGCCACTGTCGGCTCTTCTATTTGTTCTGTTATAACTTTATATGGCTTATGGAAGAAAGATAATAGATAGAAAATAGATAACGCCATCTGCAAAAGCAAAATCGAGGCTCGCTACGGTACCTAGTTCTCTAGAACGAAGCTGAATAATAACCCGACGGGCAATTACTAAAGGAAAATATTCCTATTCTCAAATGTGACCAATTTAAAAATAAATCATGAAGGAAAAAGAGAAAATCTCATAGAGCGTGTCACAGAAGATTTTGCTTCCCAAGTGCAGATGACGTTACCATTTTTGACTCGTTTATTACCTTTCATGCATATGAGTAAAATTAACACAGCAGACAGACTTCATTGAGATAGAGACTGAAGTCCTAATAAGGACGACACCGGTCTAAGTATGATTTTATCCTTAGGAGTGTTGAAAATTATTTCTGCTATTCACCTTTTGATATACTGCAATAATTGTTGCTCCATTGGCCAAGGGAGTAGTTGTTTTCAAGAGGAAAATGGTCGCTTGTATTGTTGTAAATATCCGTATCTTTTTAGTATTCGGATAATAGGTATTCGGAACCAAGATATATTCGGATTCAGCAGCATCCGGATACTTATCCATATTTAATATGTGTGAAATCATAATACGCAGCCGTAAATACACCGCGACGTGGGGAATCAGAACCGGCAGTGTTGCCAACCCTAGCAGAATTTATGTCTGAGAGTGAAGTAGCAAAAGCTTTTAATATTTTAGAATAATAAACACAAGATGAATCTCAAATATTTTGTTTTTTTTTTTAACATAATATCAAAAACAACATTTCTCATTCACTGAAAATTATTTATATTTATACAACTTTATATTACCATTAAATTATGCTTAATTCATGCTGACTAACGCACTGTGAATTGCAAGAACGCTAGTTAGGGCGATTCAGATTTCGCATCGGTTGCCACCCACCAATCCCGCAATCGGCTCTGTCATGAATTCATGAAGCATTTGATTCGTGTATTCGGATTTTGTTTCTGTCCTTTTTGATTCCGAATCTGTATTCGAATTTATCATGAAAAGTTTAAAGTGAGGTTAAGAAGTCTGTGTGAGATTGGAGCCAGTTTAATTTTACATTTAATTTTATTGCACGATCTACTTAGTATGTTAAAATTAAAAATAATAAATTTAGTTTACATCGGCAGTTTCGAACAATTAGTGATAGAGCTCTTAATCAGGTACTCCCCGATGATTAGTCACTTCCATTAAGTAATCGTTTGAAAGGTCGATTCATAAACTTGACGTTTGCTTTTGCCAATGCCGATGCCGGTAACGATTGCCGACTGCTGTTCGTAGCCATAAATTCATCCTATTCATAAACTTGACGTTGGTGCGGTTGTCGTCTTCTTTTTTTGGTGTTTTGGAAAATATATAACCTATAATTTTACTTTTTGTGTTGATATATGTGAACGACATACGAATAACGAATGGCTGTTTGTTTGTTGTTTTGACACTATTTCCACTTACGGTGGACATGCGCACAAAAATTTGATCCCCTGCGTGGTAGTCGTGGTACCCTATATAATGGAGGCCAAATAATAATAAAGAAAGAAGCGCTCCAATGTCATGGGTCAAAATCACGTGACAAGCTGAAAGTGATTTGATTGGCTCTTTGCTAAGGCTACGAACGTCGCTACGAACGGCCGCCGGCAAAAGATAAAATTCGTTTATGTTGAACGTCACCAAAAGCAGACCCATCGGCAGACGGCACCGTCAACGGCAACTATGAATGGTCTTATGCACTTCAATGTTTTTAATCTGTAACGGCCAACGGCATCGTCATCGGCAAAAGCAAACGTCGAGTTTATGAATCGACCTGAAGTGTTTAAAACGCTAAATATGCGCAGAATAAATAAAATTCATTAAAAATAGCCAGAAAACGCCATTGGTCAAACGTATTAAAAGGAGGTGAAAGAGTACTACTGTTGTGTTCTAACGCTCGTTAATTTAAAGAACAGTTAAGACTATTATAACGAGTATTTTGATTCTCTTTAGAATTTTATTTTTGACTACCTCACTACACCAAATATCAGCAGAAATAGTCAATATTTGGTCTAGTGAAATAGTCGTCCCAAATATAACACAACCTTGATTCATATTCTGCTATTTTGTTGTTGTTAAATTTCTCAAACATTTATAATTTGATTCTACACAATTTTGGCATTAATAATCAATTGATTTAAGCCCTCGAGTTCTAAACAGATTATTAATGCCAAAAATGATGATTCTTCAAATTGATATTGAAATATTCTCGAGATTTAGATTCAACAAAAATAGCTGACTATTATCAAGGTATATTACCCTTGAATATTTGTTTATTATTCAAATATAGGTAGTGTAATATTTTGAGTCATATTAGGATTTTTAAAAGTTAAAATTATTATTTCTTGTCTGAACGATCGGAGCGCTGTAGAATGCCTTGACAGACTTTGATAATTGATAGGGGGCCAGTCTATAAATAGTGTGTAGCATCATTTTTAAACTTTTTCTTAATTTTTTCAATACCCCATGAGCTCTGTTTCTTCTTTTCTTCCCTCTAAAGAGTTAGCTAAAGATGAAATATTTTAGCAAGTGTTTAAATTTGTCAGTAGTTTAAAATTAGTTAATTTGTTTTGCTAATTGTGAATTACGAGTTAGACAAATCACTATATTTGTGACTCCTGTGTATGAATTAGTATTTATTTTAAAGTTGATGTATCTGTAAAAATAAAACTTACGTGTTACCGTTTTGTAGAATCATAGAATCGTGTTTAAGCAGCAATTACGTGCTACTTAAAATTGAAAATCTAGTTCTTTTGCTTTTTGTGAAAACCTAAACCCGGATCAACTTAACTGTTCACAGAGACAACATGCTACAGGTTGCTTTTTATTAATGAATACATATTATTGTTCCTCTAACTCAGGAGCTATGAAATTTATCATGGATTAATAATTAATATAAAGCGCCATGATATTGCAAGATGTGCTATGTCAAAACATTCAACAATTTACTTTATTGTTTGTAAATATACAACAAACTGTGCTTCATGCATTGCAATATGTATGTAAGTATTCCATACAAAAATGTATTTTGAATATCTTGCAATATGATTTATGTAGGAATTCTTATGTAGTATTTATTAGCATTTAATTGTCTCAGTTAAAATTAATTTTTCATAACATAGCTTGTATTGCAGTATCAACGATGAAGGGTACTCTACTTTTTCTCCTACTATCCTATATCCTTTTTTTTTTCGTTTCTTATTTTTTATTATTATATTATAAACATTTACACTTACAGACACCATATTGTCTTTTTTCTTGCAAATGGTAAACGTCAAGCTGTCCGCCAGCAAGTGACTGGCGTAATCACATTGCAACAAAACATCCTTGGAACTTTTCTTTGAATTGGGCATCAAATAGTCTCTTCTAGCTACGAAGGCGGCGACGATGGATTTGGGCAGGGAATCGTTCAAAGACGCCAATGGTTCCGGAATCATTTCGATTTTCTTATACAAATGATCGATATCCTGCTCGCCCAACAACCAATGACAAGCCACTGATAGAAATGTCATCCACCATTGGGCTACCTTGTCTTGATGACCTAAGAATTGTCAAACATTAATATGTGCAACTGTTATATATGTCAAAATGACTTACTTTGTTCGGAAGAAGCCCCAAAAACTGTTTTGGCATCAACAGTGACATTATCTCTAAGTAAATCGATGTAGATAAGGGCGTCGCTGACATCGGTTCTCTTTTCTTGTCCATTTTCGCTCTTCTGACCAGGCGCTAATAAAATCAGGAACGTTTTTTCCAAAAGATGTTCCCGATATTTCTAGAAACGAATAATTTCTAGAAAATTATAACGAAATGTCGCAATATGACGGTTTACCTTCATCTGAATGGCCAACGGATCTACGCTACCGCCCACGCAACTGAAAGGCAAGTCCCTGTTCTTTGTATCGTTGGTAAATTTGTGGGATATGAAGAATTTGTAACCATAGGGAGTGAACAACCATTGTAAACGTTTTGGAATCGAATCGCAAGAGTTTAACGACGACAGTTTCGCCAAACCTAAGTAATATCTACAAGAAAAGAAGGAATTTTTCAATTCAATCGATACAGAAATTGTGATGCAATCAAAACGCGTAGCTCCGAAGTGTCAAATGTCATAATTAATTTATAAAACAATGGCAATCGTAAAAAAAATTAACTTGCGTCAAATACACCAATATGAAACTGTCACTTGACAAAAATCGTAATCGCCAACTGTTAAATACGAAAATTAACCACGTAATAATAGTCATTTGACAAAAAAACAACTAATTGCATTTTAAATTGTTTCTTACCTTTGTATGAAGTGTAAGAAATTTGGAAAAGTAGCTTTGATCCTTAACGCGACGCCCACGTAAATATCGATCATATCCATCGGTTTGATGCGCCCCTTCGCCGCCTCGGCCAAATTTAAGGCACTTAAGCACGTCGTCAGACCGATCCAATGACAAGTCTCATCAGTACCACTGACCAGCTGTGTTTTATGCAGATCATTGTAAACCAAAGCCAGTTCTTTGCAGGATGTCTGTGCTTCGAATCTTGTCATTCTAAAAGAAAAAGCTGTTAAAAACACAAAATATTTTTATCCGTAACTGCGAAACTGATTTATAAAACCTTTATCAAGAACTTAATGAGATATACAAGACTTCAAAGCCAACATTAGATGGTGTCTTGGTAAAATGGTAAACTTGGAACCAGCAAGCAATAAGTTACCATTTCCCAAACGCAGTTATATTGCCTTTAACTGTCATTAATTTCATTTTTTGGACTTACCCGTCAACGAAGAAGCCTCCGGTGTGGCGTGAGAGCCATCTACCGATCCACAAGCGGTGCATTACTTGTCTAAACAGTTGCCAAAAGAAGGACAAAAACAGTTCGAATCGACTAGTAGGCAAAGTTATGCCGTACGTTTGTATGCAGCGTAATAGTTCCTGTTTTGCTTCTACTCTGTCTCCCTAAAATATTGTAATTTTTATTTTATTTGTAGTATTTTCAGTTCCAATTAGTCTAAGAGCTAACCGCAAAAATTGTAAAGGGCTGATTATTTTAGGATTAATTGAAAACATCATAGATTGGTATCTAAAAATGCAGACATCAAAATAACAACAAACTTCACTGCTGCATTTTTTGAGTGAGTACAAGCAAAGGTAACCCTATTTATTAATCAAGAGGAGACTGTCGGCTATCATTTGACACCCATTATGTCAAAATAGAAGCACCCTTCGCAAAACGTGTTTAATTGCTCATTCTATGTTGACGCAATTGCTGTCAAATGAAAGCGAACAGCCTCCCCTTTAACATAACTAGGGTTGCCTTTGTTTGCACTCTTTCTGTTAGAAACACAAGGCATTTTTAAAGGTGAAATATAAATAATAAGGCAAGTACGGAACTCTACAAACGTATAAACACACGCCACACATAAATATCAAAGATGCCATCCTCCCCGCCAATCATTACGTTACTGTATTCTTTACCGCGCAGAACTTAAAGTAAAATGCAAGCCTCCGGAAGCTACCTGTCGCGCTTTTTTTAGAAGACCGCCTAAAAAATTAACACATTCTTTCGTAGACAATTGCGTCATACTAAAATGTCCCGCTAAGAAACAGTAAGTACGTGGATATAAAATCATTAGCCAGAAAGATGCAGAGTGGGCGTAGATTTAGATATGTCACAAACCGGATCAGTTTAATTTTAAAAAAAGATTCTTAACAATTCATTCCATTATTGAATCATTTTTAGTTCACAGCTGCAGGAATCAAAAGAACACAGTTTTGAACAAAAATAAATATATTCTGAGATTTCTTATATTCATAATGAGTTGTTAAGTATTTCAATTTGCAACGATAAACATTATTTGTACTTACCCTTTTCAAAAACGCGTCTGCCTGTTTCCTGTGCGTCCAGAATTTTTGAGATTCTTTAGATCTAGCAGGTATCACGGGATCTCCGTAAACGAACATTTTTATCAAACAAAAAGCCAATATCGCCAAATTAATGAACCACAATATCAACGTGGAAGGTGAAAAAGACACAGACGCAGGTTCGGTCCCTAAAATAATTCATATATTAGAGAAAAAAAAAAGTAATTTTATATAACTTTAAAGGGATTATACAAGTGAAGTTTCATTTAGTAATAGACTATTAGCGATTACGTCATAATCCTCGAAATTGGAGTCATAAAATGTATTCAACTTTAGAATCAAAAATAAATTAAACCTTATCAACTGTATAGATTAGGTTGAAATAAAGAATTGGAAAATATAAGTCCCACATTATTTGTGTATTATACATAATATTTAAAAGTTTCTGTTATTACAAGCCATGTAATGAAGATATCAAAGAAGCCGACTGATTAACGCTCTTGAAGATCAGAGTGACAAATCGCTAGTGTCATTATAATGCCTCGTAAGAATAAATTTCTCATTTTACAGGAGAAGCCTAAAACCAAATACAAAGTTCATATAAAAGATATTATAAAAGTCTTTATAATTTTTAAACATTTTTGTGGGCTGCAAGGTTTTCTGAAACGAAGCTTATAGGTAGGTAATCCCGAAAATTTGAAGAACAAATCTATTTTTTGACGAAAGTGAAGGTCGAGGTATTAGAATGACATCGATAAAATAAAGTGTCCAATACTGACAGTTTTTTTTACGATTATTAACATGTGAAATTATGACATTTGACAACTAACATTACAAATAGATTATCCTAAGAAATCTGTGGGAACATTTTTTAAATCAGCGAATTTTTCGATTGATGTTAATTACCCGGTAAAGCGACTTCCTCAGTCATTATCTGAAACGTTTTAATCATGTAGTCTCTACAATATAAGATCTGTAATATTTCTATTTAAAATAATAAATAATGAGGTAGATAAATAATACGTGTTCCGATGGTTAATTCTCAAAACAATCATATAGTCCGGGATCCGTAAGTAGTGTCGACCTTCACCCATCTGTTTAATGGATAAAAGTTTTTTTTTATTAAATAAAATATGTATTTAAATATACCGCAAATAGGTTGCCTAGGAAAATACGGTCACGGCCATTTTTTACTTTCCTTTCTGTGTACAGATAAGGAAAGTATAGGAATCATGATAAAAGTTGCTTATGATGTCATTCTCTATTATTTTGTTCCTATACATGATTTCCCTAAAATGGACCTAATTCGAGATATTTGAGGAAAAGTGCAAATTTCGAATTTTGAAGATAACTCAAAAACGGATAAAGAGAAAGACACCAAATTTTAAACTTAAGCTTCAATCCATCCTAAGGTGAGCTGATTAAAGTTTAGGTATAGTCAAAGCATCTGGAGAATACTTTACAGGGTCTCGTTTTTTTACTTTAAGAAAATAAATAGTCTGGACCGTATTTTCTTAAGCAACCCATTTGCGGTATATTTATAAACACATTTTATTTAATAAAAAGAAACTTTCATCCATTAAACATATGGGTGAAGGTCGACCTTACTTCGGATCTTAGACTAATACTTTATATAAACATGTTGATATTTTTTGCATAGCAAGTTCTGGAGAATTTGCGAAAAACTCGAGAAACGTCTCGTGTGTATTATATAAATAGCCCACATTTCTGTTATACTCAGTTTAAGTTGATAGGTCGTTCAGTACACATAAATATTGTCCATATAAATTAGTAAATAAGTAAATTATATATAAATTAGTATTGAGTATAAATAAACTGGGTTATAAAATAAATTAGGGTCTTAATGTAAATAAATTAAATAAGTAAACGTTACACTATAATGCAAGACAAAAAATTCTACTCACACAAAATTCCTCTTCTTCCTAACCCCCTACTATCGTCAACGTTGGCGTAATTATCCAAAGCTACTTTGAACGGATTAACGGCCATCATAACAAGCATAAACATGCACAACGTCAGTCTGGAGCTGTCAAGCATTCCCTTACGCGTCGGTACCATATCTTCTTCCTCGCTATCGTCTTTGAGAGTGGCGGAATATTCCGGACTGCTGGGTAGAGAATGTTCAGGTGAGAAGGAATGATCCGAATGAGGAGGAGTGTCTTCTGGCCGGTATTTGGAGTCGCCGGTGGTGAGGAGATCTTTGAGCGAGCTTTGCCTGGCGGACATTTTGAGCGCCATGTTTTCTTGCTTCAAACGAGTGTTGGAGTTTTGTAGGAAACGAACGTATTCTATCGTGCGGCGCAAGATGGCCGACTTATTTAACTAAAAAATACGTATTTTTTAAAGCACAAACAGGAAATTCCTAATATGCAAAAATCATTCAATTCAATAAATTGCAATTTTCATTTTAAAAACATATTGTTACACTGCACCCTGCAGTAGCCTAAGGCTGTTATGGAAACGTACGAATAAAAGAAGAAAGAATAGTCAAGAAATGTCATTCCGTGTCAAGAAACATATGGACGGTTTGAGAAGGTTCAAGGCAGCTATATAAGTCGATGATCCTGACGTAACAGTTCCGTTTAATAATAGACGTTGTAAGTTAAAATTATTACTTGAAGGGGTTATTGGAATACCATAAGACAAAACATAAATTTATTAAGAAAATACATCTTCAAAGAATAAAATAAACTTCTATAACTACTACAACTTTATTAAAATGTAATAACTTGATTTTAGGCTAATCATATTATTTGTTGGAGAATTTCCATTTGCGTTAAGCTTTTGTAACTTTATTTTTTATTGTCGTAAAGTAAAAAATGCCTTTATTTTAAAAAGTGTGGCTTATCACGTTTTTACAATAAGCCCTTCAATTGTAAAAGTTGAGTTGTCAATAAATTAGGTTTACCAAGAGCCAGGGAAACATTGGTGGCAGAGGTGGGATACAAAATAAAAGTTCATGATAAATACTAGATCCACTGAGTACAGAACAGGCATGAATACTTCAGGTACCCAGCATGGTTTTTGAAGATAGAAAAGGAAAAGAAAAGGCGTAGGAAGGAGAGAAGGAAACGAAAAAGCATAGGAAGGAAGAAGCGGAGGAAAAGGAAAGATGCAAGAAGGAAGTAGAAGAGGAAAGGGAAGGCCTAGAAAAGCAGAGGTGGAAATTATGAATGGTTTGCTGCAAATTCAAGAAAACCTTTAGCAAGAAGTAGGCCAGCTTAACAGTCGAATAGATCTCTTAGCACAACAACAAAATAATTTAAAAACTACTTTTAAACAAGAAACGGCTAGAGTAGAGTTGGAAAGGAACTGAACTAGTTGAGTAAGAAAGAAGAATTCGTAGCCTAGCTTCAGTAAACAACAGTGAAGCTGAAAACACTACATCATCCTCATCTATAACCGAACCAAGCCATATTCAAAATCCTGTTTTACAAAACCATACTAGCAAGGCCATTAAGCCACCAACGTTTGACGGGCAGACATGGGAAACGTATCGACTCAAATTTTAAGCTGCAGCTAGTGCCAATGGCTGGGCCGAGAGAGATGGCGGCTTCATTTTAGTGTCCCTGTGAGGACACTCAGCAACTGTTTTACAGTTACTCAAGGGGAACCAAGTTATTTTTTTCTCGTCCAAGCCTTGGAGACAAGGTATAGCCAGCAACACTTGAAACGGGTATTCCAACGCCAGCTAAAGGTTCGTAGTCAGAAACATAATGAGAGTCTACAGGAATTCGAGGCTGATAAAAATATTGATTTATTTGGCCTATCCACAGGCGCTTAAAGATGTCCAAGAATAAATCGGCATACATTGATGGACTACAAGATGTGGAAATGAAGCGAGCTTTTCAGTTAAACACTACAAGACGCTGAGGGAGAAACTATGATTGCAGCCCAGGAATATGAAGCAGCAAAACTCATCTAGATCTTCTCGCACAAAAGTGAGAGAAATGAAATTCCAGGAAAATGGAGAGGCCACTACTAATACTATCCCTCAATCTACCCTCTCCAAATCCTAAATATCCTGCAAAATATGCAACGAAATAGAGCAGAAGATGCTTCAATTGAGGAAGGATGGGGCACCTTTAAAGAAACTGTAGAAGCAGGGTTCGTTCTATAAATTGAGAATTAGGGAATGAGGCCAGAAAGTCAGACCTACTTGGCAAAAGATAGCCAAATATAGTGGAGCGATTAAAGGGTACTGGACTCAATGGGATTTCCGGTATCTTTACCTATTCCACCGGAAGTGGAAGAGTCCCGATAGAATACATATAGAACGCCAATTGGTACTGCCGAAATCACAGGTTAGAAGTGTGTTGGAGGAGCATCATAGCAGCCGTTTAGGACATTTTGGTACTAAAAGGACACTGGCACGAGTTCGGTAAAGATTTTATTGGGTCAATTGCCGACGGGATATAGAAGATTGGTGACTATTTTTCAAAGTGGCCTGAAATAGCGCCTATTTCTTATCAGGAAACGACGCCATTTTGTACTTAATTACTCTGTGCGCTGCCCAGTTTCTTAATTTCTCGTATCTACGCCACGGTTATTGTATGAATGCATTTCAAGCTTCTCCAACATTTATCAACCACTATTAATATTGTAAGAATGTAGGCTTTCACGGCTTTGTCGTTTGTATGGTCGCAGGTTCTGGATGGTGAGAATGCTGAGAGCCCCAACAAACAAGAAAAAGGTTGCCATTTCTTTGGGCCTTGTTGTTATCCTTCTATCTGCTCCATACTGTCTCATTTTGTGGGATGAAACGCACAAAATTCCCATTGGCTTTCACGATGCCATTCCTTTAAATGGTTTAATTAATGTAGCCACTAGAGTTCCGGACCCTAGGAACATTTCACCATTTTTTGATAGTAAGAATGTTGCCTCGAGCTATCAAAATCACCTCTATGCATTTTTCAGAGACCCCGGCGATACTAAGGTCTGTCACATAAAACCTTCGAAATTTTTAGTTCCTTCTGTATGTAAAATAATTATGTTCGTGAGCTGCGTTTTTTGTGTTCCGTGCACCGTAATAACTTCTCCATTAGTTGGTCCATAATAATTTGAACCTAAGCTAGTTTTATATAATTTTTTGATGTTTACATCAGTAGTTGTATAACACTTGTTTTATCTATCTTTAAAAATTACCTCAGTGTCGAAACCGTTGTCATGTAATTTATTAATTACATTTTTTTGTGTGAAATTGATTTTGAGTATCATTTCTTAAATTTTTACTAAATAAAAAGTTAGAAGTTCAATTTGGTAAGACATTAAATAAAAAAAGAAGAAATATATTGTTATATTACATACAACTTGAAAAAATAGAGCTTTATAAATTTCTTAATGATAGGGATTAAATCTCTTGGGCAGGCAGGACAAATACTTAACCTAATCTGAGTGCACAATATCTCAGAAATTTGTGTGAACAGGATTTAATGTCCTAATATGTACATCATGAAATTTAAACTGACAATTTAAAGATTTGAACTAAAGTGGTGGTGTTTCCATATCAATATATCTTTAAGTCATCAGCAAAAAGTAGAATATTACTATATTGGAAAATAAATTCAGTATCATTGATATATAGTAAGAACAATAGTGGGCCTAAACGGGAACATTATGGAACCCTTGAGGGTATGTCATATTGGATGGACGGACTACCATCTATCCTCACCATCTGAACTCTGTTTTTAAATAGCTTTCAAGCCAAGTCAGAAAAGCTTTAGAAAGACCAAACTTTTTAATTTAAATAGCAATAAAATGTGATTAAAAGATTTTCAAAAAGGTTTGGTTTGATCGATAACATACTGATAAGTCTACGATTATTTATATCACACCTATCGCCAGTTTTAAATATAGGAACAACAAAAATTGATCTTCATAATATTTTGAATGTGACTAAGATATTTTTATGTTAATCTTATTAACATACCATATACAGCTTTGTACTCTTGTTCAGTTATTCAAATTAATGTATAAATGTATGTATTGATTATTTAGAGGGGAACCGTTTGATAAGTAATGTGCAATCAGGATTCCGTAGTAAACACAACTGTGAAACTGCTTTACAGTTGATGTTGCATGACTGGAAGTTATCAATTGAAAATAATTTGGTTACAATGATGGTGTTTTTAGATTTACAGAGGGCATTTGAGACTATTAATAGGGGTAGATTATTAATGAAATTAAGAGCTATTGGTTTGGGGGGTAGTGTACTGGACTGGTTGGGTCATTACATGGAAAATAGGAAACAGAAGGTTAAGGTAAGTAAGTGTGTTTCAGATACTATAGAAAATAATATGGGCGTGCCACAGGGCAGTGTTCTAGGTCCGCTACTGTTTTTAATTTATATTAATGACATTGCTGGTGTAGTCGAAAGATGCTCAATACACACACTTATTTACAGATGATGATACACTGATATATTTTACCCATGAAAACACTGAAACTTGTTTTAAAGAAATTAATAGTTCTATAAGTAAAATATATGATTATTGTAACGGAAACTCGTTGAAAATAAATTACGAAAAGACAAAGTGGATGTTAATTGGGGGTACTAGAAATATAAAAAAAGTAAATGTAGCATCGCAGTGTGTTTCTGTTGATGGAATAAAGTTTCAGAGAGTTGAAAAATTTAAATACCAAGGGGTTGTGGTTGATACAAATTTACAATTTAAGGAACATGCTAATAACGTCATCAAAAGCACATCATTTAAAATAAACTATTTGAGGTGCTCTACATCTCGGCAAATGGGCTAAATTAATAATTTATAATACTCCAATATTATGTTAAGTTTTATACACTTGTTATTTAGTAGTAGTTGTTGTTGTCACCTTGTATATAGAATGAAAAAAAATATTATTATATGTCAGTTAATAAAAGTCAAGTCATATAAAAGTCTTTTATATACATAATTGGTATTTCCTATACGGGCAGATTATTTCCCGTACAGTGTTTGGTCCTTTCGAGCTACTGAAAGCGCTATGGAAGACATTCCAATTGGAAAAAAAGCGCTGCAAGGTACCGACCTTCGCCGAAGTGAGCGACTAAAAGAGTTAAGTTCTAAGCGGGTGCCGGGCGAAAAAGTCAATTCCTGAGGTTGAATTTATTGCAATGGAGAGTACCAGAGCTAAAAGTACTCCTCATTTGGGAAAGCAATTAAATCAGAACTCAAATAGTTTGACAGCCATCAATCTCGCCGAGAAAGAACGTGTTCAAAGCTTAAGGTCGGAGAGAATAAATTTTGTTCCTGAAAGACAGAGAGCAAACTCAAGTATTGCTAAATCAATAGATGGTAATTCAAAAAAGTCTAGGAAGTCAGAAG